TGGTGGCACACGCCTTTAATCCCAGAATATGGGAGGCAGAGGCAGGTGATCTCTGTGAGTTGGAGGTCAGCTGTTCTACAAATAGAGATACAGGACAGAGAAAAAACAAAAAAAAAAAAAACAAAAATTCCCTAGCATGCCCATAGATTTGAATCACAGCCCTCCCCAGAACCCAACAACAACAAAACGATAGAAAAAAATTTATTGTGTTTGAGACAGGATCTATCTGTATATAGCTGTGGTAATTCTGGAACTCACTATTTAGGTAGGTCAAGCCAGCCTCGAACTCACAGAGATCCACCTGCTTCTGCCTCCCAAGTGCTGGGATTAAAGACACACACACACACACACACACACACACACACACACACACACCACCAAGCCCAGCTTTCAGGAATGAAATTTTATGTAATTAATTACTAAAATTAAATAAATAATTAACTGATGGATTTAAAAAAAAAAAAAAAAGCCAGAATGGTAACCTACATCAGAGGGCCCAGGAGTCAGAGGCAGGCTGAACATTTCTTGGCCAACCTAGTCTACATAGTCAGTTCCAGGCCAGCCAGAGCTACATATCAAGATCCTGTCTCCAAAAGGGGGGTTGGGGCTGGGAGGGGAGGTAAAGACATGACTAACCCCTTCGTCTTATTTTCCTACCTTTGAACTTTTTCCTCCTTTTAACTTGATCTTTGCCAGTCTTCCCCCTCTTGTCAACAGGTCCACTGCCATTTAACAAATGGTGGTTTGGAGGATAAAAGACAGACCCTTAGCACAGGCAATGGAATTCCAAATGCTAGACTCTTGGCTCCACAATGTCTGATTCAGAACTGCTGGGAGCTATTAGTGCAGCTCGCCCACCCAGGCATGTGAGGCTGGGAGAACTCCTTTCACACCACCCGCACCAGCCTCTCATTTATGCCACAGGCTTCAATGATCATGTGCTTTTGTTCTGTACAGGAACACATGAAGTCCAATGTAACTCCAGACATTATTAGGAAGGTCCAGAAGGAATGAAGAATGAAGCAGTTTCGACGTGGACCTGCAATCTCTTTTTATAGTCATGGGGCAACAGTCCAAGAAAAATATCTTTTCAAAATACTCAAATACAAGGTGGAAAGATGCCCTCTAACAGTCTCAGATGCATTCTGGTTTAAATGACAACAGTTGCTTTTCTGCAGGCATCTTTTGTTCTTTCCCACCTCCAGCATTTGTTAAAAATGCCATACATAACCTGGAACTGTGGCCCCAATCAGTCTGCACACATTTTCCAGCATCCCCCATCTTTAGCTGTGAAATCACATCCTTCCTTCATAAAGTGCTTATAAAATATGATAGCCTGACATTCCCAAAAAACCTTTGTTCTCAATTCCATCTTTTTTGAACCCATGCTAGTCAAGTGTTCTATGATTGAGCTATACTCCAAACCTTTAATTCATCCCTATTACATCCTATTTTAAAAAAAAAAAAATCTTTAAGCCAGGAACGGTGGTGAACAATTTTAGCCTCAGCACCTGCCTGGGAGGCAGAGGCAGGTGGATCTATGAGCTCCAGGCCAGCCTGATCTACAGAGCAAGTTCCAGGACAGCCAGGGCTATAAAGAGAAACCCTATCTTGGGGGGTGGAGGGTGGGGGGAAGGGATCTTTACTTTCCTGAAAGGCCCATAGAAATTTTTATGATGCTTCCAACGATCAGGTCATGAGTAGGCATGACAAACATATAAGCACAGTGATTCTATTTGTCCTTGACTATACTATATATTATATAAGCAGCCTATTTCCAATGGGGGAGAAACAGGCATGAAATCGATACTGGTGGTATACCCCAGAGACAGAAGGACTGCTGTAAATCTGAGGGAGAGGAAGGAGGAGGAAAAATATAATAAAGAATAATGACGCCAGACGTGTTATTACACGCCTGCAACCCCAATTCAGGAGACTCTGGCAGGATAGGGAATTCAACATTCTCCCTGAAACAAAAGATTATGGACCCTGGAGAGCTGGCTGCTCTTCTAGGATCAGAATTCAATCCCCAACACCACACTTGCCTGCATCTCTAGTTCTAGGGAATACACTGCCCTCTTCTGACCCTTATGGGCATTGCACAAATATGGTGCACAGACACAAACATATGGGAGAACACCCATACACATAATAAATAGTTTTAAAAACAAAATCAATAGACATGGTAGCTCAAACCTGTATTCTGAATTCTAGAACATAAGGCAGAAAAGACTGCTTAGGTCTAGCAGTTCCAGGCCTGCTTAGGCAACATAATGAAACATTATCTAAAAAACCTTAAAAAAAAAAAAAAAAAAAAAAGGCTGGCGGTGGAGGCACATACCTTTAATCCCAGCACTTGGGAGGTAGAGGCAGGCAGATCTCTGTGATTTCAAAGCCAGCCTGATCTACAAAGCTAGTTCCAGGACAGGCTCCAAGGAAGGAAGGAAGGAAGGGGAAGGGAGAAGGGGCTGGATAGATGTTGCAGCAGTTAAAAACAGTCTGCTCTTGGAGAGAACCCAGGTTCCATTTCTAGCAACCATATTTTGATTCACAACTACCTGTAACCCCAGTTCCAAGAGATCTGGCATCTCTTCTGAACTCCAAGGGCACTAGGCAGGCAACATAATGACATGAAAGCAAAACACCCACAAACATAAAATGAATCTTTTTTTTTTTAAAGGGGGGGAGATACTGCCAGGTGGTGGCTCAGTTTTAATCCCAGCACTTGTGAGGCAAAGGTAGGTGGATCTCTGAGTTTGAGGCCAGCCTGGTTCAGGGCAGCCAAGACTACACAGAGAAACCCTATCTCCAACCACCCCGCCCCTCAAAAAAGGGCCAAGCAATATAGCTAATATCAGGACCCTAGGTCTGTACAATGAGGCCCTGTCTCAACAAACCAAGGACTGGACATGTAACTTGATTTTAGATCATCTTTACCATGTGTAAAGCCCTAGATTTGATCTCCAGAACCGAAAAAGAAACACTTTTTCTTTTTTTCCAGTTTTCCAAGACAGCATCTCTATCTAACAGCCTTGTAGTTCAGGATGGCCTTGACTCATAGAGATCCACCTGCCTTTGCCTCCCAAGTGCTGGAATTAAAGGTGTATGCACCACTGCATGGCTGGCTATCACTTTATGTACCACTACACTGACACCAAGGGAATGACACACCCATGACTATCTATTGTAAGTATCCATGAGACATTTGCTAGATTATTTTTAAGAATACAAGGGAATTAAAAGTAGTCCCCCAATGGGCTTTTGTGGTGCACATCCTTAATACCAGCACTCAGGAGGCAGAGACAGGCAGATCTCTATGAGTTCCATGGAGGCCAGCCAAGTCTACAAAGTGAGTTCCAGGACTGGCAAGGCTACACAGAAAAATTTGTCTCAAAAAAAGAAGCATTAGGATTCAGAGGACATGACAATGAAAAAAAAAAAGCTAGGAACATGCCTTTAATCCTAGCTCTTATGGGGCAGAAGCAGATCTCTGGAGTTCTAGGCCAGCCTAGTCTGTGGCTATGCTTTTGGGGACAAAGAGGGGGACCACTGGGGCCCTGACAGTCACCAGGCTAGCTCTGGATTCAGTGTAACACCATATCTGAAAGGATTAAGATAAAGTGTAATAAAAGCAGAATACCTAATATTCTCTTCCAACCTTGGGACCCCCATACACACAGGGGCAACCACCCACCACCACCACCCACACAACTCTTTTAAAAAGATAAGTAAGGTTCTTGAGTGCTGGATTTTCTTTTCCTACCAGGTCCTGCCACCCTTCTCAGTCCCAAATAAGCACATGGATGCTATATTAATTATAAAACTGCTGGCTGATGACTAGGGCTTCTTATTGGCTAGCTCTGCCTTAATTATTAACCCATTTCTATTACTCTACGTATTTCCATGTGGTCTTATCGTACCGGAGAACGCCTGGTACGCCCTTTCTTTTTGGTCCTTAAATGGTGACTCTCCTTATAGGGCTCACTCTGCCTACCTTTCCTAGAATTCTCATCCCTAGTCTTGCCTATCTTCCTGCCTCATTGGCCAAACAGTGTTTTATTCATAAACCAATAAGAGAAACATATATCAGAAGGACATTACCCATCACTAGAGAAATGGCTCAGTTGGTAAAGTATTTAACACCAACATAAAAGGCTGGTGTGGTGAGTACACTGAGAAGGTAGTAAGAGGCAGACCTCTAGCATTTGATACCAGCCTGATGGGGAACGTCCTTCTGTAAATATGTTTCTCTTATTGGTTGATTAATAAAACACTGATTGGCCAGTAGCCAGGCAGGAAGTATTGGCGGGGCTACTAGACAAGGGGAATTCTGGGGAGGAGACAGAAAGGAGCCACCAGGGAGACTCCATGTAGCTACTGGGAAGACAAGATGCCGTGCATTCTGCGGTAAGATAAGGCTATGTAGAAATACATAGACTAATAGTTATGGGTTAGTAATTAAGAGAGAGCTAGCCAGTAAGAAGCCTAAACCATCAGCCAAACAGTTTACAATAATGCAAATCTCTGTGTGTTTATCTGGAGCTAAACGGCTTCGGGACCAGGTGGAAAAGAAAAAGTCTACACCAGCCAGACTAGCCTATCAGTGAAATTAGGGAGACTCAAAAACCAAAGAGAATGGCACCTGAGAAAGAACATCTACTGGTCTTTAAAGGCATAAGCACACACATGAACGTAATCACGCAAAGTTAAATACAAATAAATAAATTCTTAAATTATCTTTCTCAGTACAGTCCAAAAACATAGAGGAGGTAACATAACCCTGCAATCCAAGAATTTGGGAGGATGAGACAGGACAATACTAGCTCCAAGGCAGCAGACAATGTCTCAATGCATACATATTCATACCTTTTTACTTTTTTGTTCACTTTTGCTGTTAATGCCCTAACAAAAATCGACACATTTACTGAAGTCAACTGCATTCAGGTATATGTGACTAGAAAGAGCTGGGAAAGCAACCAATTAGCTCTTCTAAGTCTCACCAGCTGTGTTTTCCTGAAGACAGAGGATCTGTCCACCTGCTCCCACAGATGGTACAGCTGAAGTAAAACACCTGGTTCAATACATCCACTCCATGCAGTCAGAACAATGCTAGCTGTAAAGATACCAAGCCCAAATCAGTATTTTCATTTTATTGTCTGCACAAAGACCAAAATAAGCTTTTTACCTTCCAAACACAAATACTGTGATCTCAAAGTGTAACAATAAGCTTTACTTATTTACCTACAACTTTTGGTGGCCAGCCTGGTGCACAAAGCAAATATCTGAGCCAATCAGGGCAACATAGCCAGACCTTTTTTTAAAATTAAAAATAAATATAGAAATGAAAATAAAAGACAAAATCATTTTTTTTTTTAAAGGCAGGCATAAGGCTAGGTGGCACACCTTTAAAACCCAGCTTTCATTAGGCAGAGTCAGGCCTATCTCTGTGAGTTTGAGGCCAGGCTACATAGTGAGTTCCAGGGCAGCCATGCTACTCAGAGAAACCCTATCTCAAAAGGAAATGACAGGCACAGTGCCAGAAAGATGACTCAACAAGTAAAAGTACTGGTCATCAAGTCTGATAACCTGAATTCAATCTCCTGGAACCACATGGTAGGAGAGAACCAACCCATAGATTTCAAGGGCTGAAGAAATGGCTCAAAGGTTAAGAGCACTGACTGCTCTTCCTAGAGGTTCTGAGTTCAATTCCCAGCAACCACATGATGGCTCACAACCATCTATGAGATCCAACACCACCTTCTGGATTGCAGGGATATATGCAGACAGAACACTGTATATATAGTATGCAGAGTGAGTTCCAGGACAGCAAGGGCTACAAAGAGAGGCCCTCACTCAAAAAGACCAAAAACTGAAAACAAAAACTATATTTAAAAAGCTAAACTTGGGGGCATCATATATATGCAAGAGATCAAATACAAAATTTGTTCTATCACTGAACTATATCCCCAACCAAGGCTCAATAAATTTAACTTAAAAAATAAAACAGAGCTGGGCGTTGGTGGCGCACACCTTTAGTCCCAGCACTCAGGAGACAGAAGCAGGTGGATCTCTATGAGTTTTGACACCAGCCTGCTCAAATTCTAGGACAGGCTCCAGAGCAATACAGAGAAACCCTGTCTCAAAAAAACCAAAAATAGAACCAAGAACATATCTTTATATACCTTTCATCTCATAGTATGAAAGCTGAAGCAATAGAACTACCCTTAGTTCCAGTTCTGAGATACACAGTGAATTCAAGGGTAGCCTATATAGACCGTCTCAATAAATAAATAAATAAATAAATAAATAAATAAATAAATAAATAAACAGTAATACAATCAGGAGCTATGCACGGTAATGTATATCTACAATGCCAGTATTTGGGTAGCTAAGGACCACTTTAGTCCACAAATAGGAGATCAGTCCAGATCATAAGGTGAGAGCTTGTCTCAAAAACTAAAATAAGCTGGGTGATGGTGGCATACACCTTTAACCCCAGCACTCAGGTAGATCTCTGTGAGTTAGAAGCCAGCCTGATCTACACAGTGAGTTCTAGGACAGCCAAGACTGTTTCACAGAGAAACCCTGTCTCAGGAAAAGAAGAAAAAAAAAAGGGGGGGGGACTAAAATAAAGCCTTAGGTGGTTGCACAAAGCTATAACCCTAACATCTGGGAAGCAGAAATGGGAAGATGGGGAGATCATTGCAGATAGAAGCCAACCTGGATTGCAGTCACTTCCAGGCTAGCACGGGATACATAGGAAGGTTCTACCTCACAAAAAGAGATTCTCCAGGGCTATAGTTCAGTGGTAGAGTACTTAATAAACTCAAATCCTATCAGCACTGTAAAAAGCAAACAAAAACAAATGGCTAGAAAGATGGCTCGACTGTTTAAATAGTGCTGGCTGTTCTCCCAGAAGACTCAGATTGGTTTCCAGCACTCAAAGATGGTTCCCAACTCAACTGTCTGTAATTCCAGTCCCAAGGGATAGAAACCATCTTCTGGGCCCCAAGCATATATGCATTACAAAGATATACACACAGATAAAACACCATACACATAAACCAAGTAATTAAATAATTTTTAAAAATCCCAGCACCTGAGGAGGCCAGCCTGGTCTACAAAGCTAGTTCCAGGTCAGCCAGACTTCATAGAGAAACCGTGCCTTGAAAAACCAAAATAAATAACGAGGTTATATGAGATATATAATATAAATATATATAGAGAAGGGGGAGGGAGAGAGAAAGAGAGAGATTGAATGCGGTAGTTCACACCTGCAATTCTTGAGGCTGAGGCAGGAAAATTTCTGAGTTCCAGGCTAACCTGGATAAGAGTAAAACTAAAAGGGGAAAAAACATGTTTCTGCCTGTCACCTCTCAAGGCTGACACTACTTTTCTAGAAAGAAACAAAAAGTACTGAAGTCAAGAAAAACTTGCCACATTTTTACAGTGCAGAAAAATACCACTGGCCTTTTATGGGCCAGGGGGTGGGACTGGTCAGGAGTGTTATGAATTCCAGGAAAATGTGGGTGTGTTTATTGTTGCTCTAGGGATATAAGACCTAAATGAATAAATCTGTGCTATGTGAATGTTTGTTCTCATGTGGTTTTGAAAATTAAAAGCAGGCAGGCCCTCTACATGATGACCAAAATTAACTAAGGAATGAGGCAACATTTTTAAAAGAGAAAAAGTCAAAGTTGTGTGTGTGTCAAGGCCTGTGTTCATGCCTGATAGTAACATTTAACTTGAGCTACTGAAGAGGTTCAATTACATATTTGTTGCCATCAGCTAATTTAATTTAAAGTCTGCCAACTCCACAGCTATAAATTCAGAATTTTACATTGGTCACTCTGAATTTTACTTTGATTTCTGCATTTAATTATAGCAATACAAAACAGAAAGGAGAATCAAATCTTTTTAGTTTTTCATTTGGCTTCCCCCATCATAAGGCAGAGTTTGACTATACAGCACAGAGAGACCTCAAAATCTCTATCCTCCTACCTCAGCCTCCCAAAAAGTAGGATTATAGGAATGCACCATGCCCTGCAAGATCCAAATCTTCTTTTTGTTTGTTTGTTTGTTTGTTTGTGTTTTTTGAGGCAGAGTTTATCTGTATAGCCCTGGCTGTCCTGGTACTCACTCTGTAGACCAGGTTGGCCTGGAGATCTGGCCCTGCTAAGAGGTTTAAGCAGGGTGGGTGTGCGAACTTGGGAGACAGAGGCAGGCAAATCTCTGAGTTCAAGATCAGCCTTGTCTACAAGAGCTACTTCCAGGACAGGCTCCAAAGCTACACAGACTAACTGTCAACAAGTCAAAACAAAAATGCCCACTCCTCTTTTGTCCTTTTTTGTTTTGTTTTAGGGTTTTTTGTTGTTGTTGTTGAGACAAAACCCAGGTTGGCTTGGCACTTTGTAATAATCCTCCTGCCTCCACCTCCCAAATTCTGGGATTACAGGTGTGTGCTATTAAACCAATACTGCCTTTTCTTTCCCACATCATTGTTAGAGTAATTTATGGCAATCCTGTCCAGGCATGGTGGCTCATGCTTTTAATCTCAGCACTTGCAAAGTGGGAGGCAGAATCAGGAGTTTGAAATCAGCATGGGCTATGCTGAAAGGAGGAGTTTAGGATAATCCAGTCAGCTAGAAGGAATACCAATAAAAAGGAGCAGGAAAAGAATCTGATCATCTCAGAGGGAAAGGAAGCTCATGGATACAGACAAGCAACTAAGTCAACCAGAGAATAGAGTTATAAACAGTAGTGAGCCTAGAGAGAGAATAGGAGGCATCGAGTCGTTCATCCTCAGTAAGGTCTCTCTGGTGCATTTTCATTTCTCTTTTATCATGCTAATAGCTATGTGCCACATAAGAAAACAGTTCTCAAGAGGACAATTCTTACATCTTTTTATAATAATGAATGCACAGGACCTCTCCACTGTAAAACTATCTGTAAATACCATTCCATGTGTGTTTAGGCTCCTTTCAAGGGTCACTGATTTATATACCTTTGGACACATTATGAATTTCACACTTGCTGGTGTTGGTGGCACAGGCCTTTAATCCCAGCACTCAGGAGGCAGAGGCAGGCAGATCCCTGTGAGTTCAAAGCCTGGTCTACAGAGCTAGTTCCAGCCTCCAAAGCAATACAGAGATACTCTGTCTCGAAAAATCAAAACCAATAATAATAATGAGTTTCACACTTTACCTTGCTAGGCAAAATAAACTATAACATGAAGATATTCTCATAACACTCATGTATCTTAGTCTTCAAGTTTGTATTCTCAGGTAAGTGAACAGAAAAAAGGACCATCTGAAAACAAAGAGCTTTGAGGCTGTGAAGAATTCTAGAACAGGCTTTCTTGTCATTTGGCACTTCCCAGGCACAACCCCAGCTGAAACTCACTGTCATTCTATTAACATGATATATTCCACTTCTCACATAAAATAAAATAAATCTGAAAAAAAGATTTACTCAATTTATCTACCATTCCCCCACTTATCTATGCAGGACCCCCATGAAGTGTGGGGTCCTGAGTCACCTATGATCCTTAGCAACTAACAGTAGCTAAACAACGTGCCAAGCACAGCTGAAACATTTCACAAGTCACTCTTACATATTAATCAGATTATCAGAATAAACCTACAAATGAAATCGGGCATGATGGTGCATGCCTTTAGTCCTGGCACTTGGAAGGCAGAAGACAGATCTCTGAGTTTGAGGCCAGCCTGGTCTTCTTATAGAGCAAGTTCAAGAACAGCCAGGGCTAAACAGAAACCTTGTCTCAAAAAAGAAAGGAAGGAAGGAAGGAAGGAAGGAAGGAAGGAAGGAAGGAAGGAAGGAAGGAAGAAAATGATGTAGGGAACTACCTTCAATTTTACAGGAGACTGGGCTTAGTAATGTCTATAATGCTGGGATGGGTAGGGGTGGAGGTGGGGGGCAGAGATAAGGGAACTGTTGCAAGTTCCAGATACTGAATCAAAAAATCCAGGAAAAACAAACAGACAAAATTTAAGCCTTTAGAAGTTTACCCTAGCTGGGAAGTGGTATTGAACACCTTTGATCCCAGTACCCAGGAGGCAGAGGCAAGTGGATTATCTGTGAGTTTGAGGCCAGTACAGTCTACAAATCAACTTCCAAGACAGCCAAGGCTATTACATAGAGAAACTGTCTCAGGAAAAAAAAAAAAAAAAAAAAAGGTTTATCCTACACCACTGCATTCTACTTCTGCTAAATAAGGAATTTTTTTTTTCAAGAGTAGCATACTTAGTAAGTCGAGGGATAAGACCCACTGTAAGATTATTATCTCCATCCCAAGACTACTGACTATCACACCAAGGTTCGGATAGACTACACTTACATTTTAGCTCATTATTCCTTAAAATGGCCATTTTTACACATTACAAAATGTGTATAGTCTGACTATAATTGTTACTTATTTATGAGCAAGGGATCAAACCCAGGGCTTTGCCCATGGTGGGTGAGTAGACTACCACTGAGTTACAACTCTAGCCTAAACCAGTAATTAAAAACAAATATTCAGTCAGACTCACACCTAGAATCCCTTCCTTTAAAAGGCTGAAGCAGAAAGTATTACAAGTTTGAGGGCAACTGGATCTACATAGTGAATTGAGGCAAGCCTTTGCTATAGAGTAAGTTCCTACTTCAATAAAACAAAGTATTCAGGGCTGGAATGAAGCTTAGTGGTAAAACACTTGCCTAGGGAACAGGAGGCCCTGGTTGTTGTGGTGGTTGATTTTTGACCAGTACTGCCAGGAAAAAAAAAGTGTAAGACAAAACAAATATCCATGCACTGTGTGCAAACTTCGCCATATATCCCAATGGAATGAACACCAGAGGATGAAGTGCTACAGTATTTCCCCAGGGACTCCAGTTCAGAAAGCAGACTCAGGGTTGAGTTCTTTCCTACTCTTCTCTCCCCAGGACTATAGTTAAAAACACTAGGCAGTTAGAGCACCTGCCTAGCATACACTGGGGCCTGTGTTCCTTCAGCACTGAAGAAAAACAAGAAACCTTAGGTAAGCTTCTGGAGCAGCATATGGTCAACACAGAAGCACTGAAAAGGACACATGACTGACACGCCCCAGCTCTGAGGAAGCCGGACCAGGAGGTAGGACTGGCCTAGGCTATGGATATAATAAGACTCTATCTTAATGAAAGAAAGTTCTCAAACCCACGAATTTCAGTGTAATTTATTATTCGGAACTAAAGGAAACGTATGACAGTGCACACATGTAACGTGCCAATATTCAGGCACCTGAGGCAGGATTAAGAGTTAAGAGACCAAGCCAGGCATGGGAGGCAGTTTCCAGGCCAGCCTGGTCTATAGAGTAAGTTCCAGGACAGCCAGAGCTACTCAGAGAAACACTTTCGGGGTGGGGGTGGAAGCCAACCTGCCCGGCACATAGGTCTTCAGTTCAATCCTCAACCCCAATAAACTAGTTAACAACCAATAAGCAAGCATACTAAACACTATAGACTGCCTTATGCAAAGAAAACTAGTTACATAACAAACCAAAAAGCTTAGGCTTTTGTTGTTTTTTGGGACAATCTCACTACATAGCTTGGGTTGACCTCAACCTCCTGAGTGCTGCAATTACATGGGCTTTCAGCACACCCAACTTTTGGGACTTATCTTTAACTGATAAAGTAAGACATGGAAATTTCTTAGGTCAGCTGGACCTGGTGACACAAGCCTGTATTCTTAGCTACTGGAAAGCTGAGACAGAATTACAAATTGTCTGGGCAACTTAGTAAGACCCAATCTGAAGAAGGCTGGGGATACAGTTCAGTATACAGCATAAAGCACAAGGCCCTAAGTTCCATCCTCAGCACTGCTATAAGTAAATTAATTTAAATTCAGATAAAAGGTTTTTTTTTCCACTTTCCTAATATAACGAAATCTTTGTCAGACCTCAGGGTTACCTGGTCTGCCTCCACAAGACCATCAAGAGCAGCAACAGCACAGGACTACAAAAGGGAGTAATGGGTAAATCTATCTTGCATTTCTTCAGTCCAATGTGGAATGAGGGCCCAAGAACGATGCTGTATAAATCCTCCCTTTTAAGCGCTGAAGAACAACCCTGTGAGGGTAGAGAATGGCGTTCTCAATACCTCTCATTTTATTCTCTGCACATGGACATATTCAAATAGCTGGTTTTAGTTTTTATTTACTTTCTGTTTTGATACACAGATACTGGCTGTGTAGATCAGGCTGGCCTCAAACTCAGAGAGCCACCTGCCTTGAAAGTGCCTCAAGTACCTGTTTTTAGACTGTCATTCTGCATAAACAGGAAAATCTACAAAACAGTTTACATGAATCCCCTCTCTCAAATTCAAATCGAAAATCTACTTTGTTGCCATGTCCTCTGGGCCTAGAGTGATACTTTGTACTTAAGAGAAGATTTAATAAATATTAAATGAATCGAATGCAAAATGCCTGGTACTCAAGTAATGTTAGCTATTACTGTTATTTTAATGCAATTAAGTTTTTATTGTTCTTATTAAAGATGCCAACCCTCATGCAAAGATCTTACAATTCTAGAAAGAACATCAGGTAAGCGAAATGGCAAGACAGGGCTAGGTAAAGACATCTTTAAAAAAATAAACAACCAAACCCCAATTTCGGACTTTTCCGAGGTGCACACATGATTAGTAAACCGCAATTACAATAGTGAGCTTTCACACCTGTGATGTGCAACTGTACGTACAGGGCGTCCTACTGGACTCACTAAACCCAACTACAGGGCAGTTTAGAGAACGTTCCTTACAACCCATTTTTCAGACAGAGCAACTGAGGCTCAGGGAGCGCCAAGGTCACAGCCAGTACGCTGGGGAGCCGAGACGTGAACCCAAGCAGTCCGACCCCAGAGCCAGCACTCAACAGGCCCCTCCGGAACACCAGCCCCGCGTCTTCCAACATCTAGCGCACGTCGCTCCAAATCCGGCGTGCCTATGGTTTCCCAGGACCGGACTTTCAGCCCCGATGCCGCGAAAACAAAACAATACTTCTCTCGCGGCCAGTCCATAGTGCGCCCGCCAGGCCTGAGATCCAAGGCCGCTCTGCACAGTCCCGCAAGCACCGGGAGTCCCTGTGCGCCGCAAGAAGCGCCGGGGTGGCCCCGAGAGTCCGCGAAGATCCGGGGAGTCGCGTGACCTTGGATACAGCGCGCCACTCCGGGCCTCAGTTTCCCCGCCCGGGCCTCCTGCCGGGGGCCTCTGCGGAGCCTCGCGCCTAAAGAGCAGCAGGCCCCTCAACACACACCCCTCAGCCGCCCGCCTTCCCGCCCCACTTACGCTGGAAGGCGGCTGCTCCAGGGACGCCCACCATCGCGGAGCGCAGCCTGACGCGAGCGCAGCCCGCTTCGACCCACCACCCGAGTCTTCCGCAGGCGCAGGCCGGGACCTGCACCCGCCGAACTCGCCCACACCAGCGCCGCCGCCGCCGCCGCCGTTAGGCCGCGCGCCGCCCCGCCCCCGGACGGCCCGGGCACGCCCCCGCCGCGCGCTCCCGCTCGCCAACCAACGCACGCGGAAGCCCGGCCCGACGGCGCTCACGCGAAGCCCCGCCCCCTGGCCTGGCCCCCTTCCGTGCCAGGCTGCGCCCTATCCTGGAGTGGCCTGAACCTCAGACCCGCCTCCCGCGCGCTATGCGCAGCCGTCACGTAAACGCCCGTCTCCGAACTCCAGACTTCCGGATGTGGCCTGGGCGGAGACTTAGGGGCGGGGGCGGAGTCCTGGGGCGGGGTTTGGGGGAGGGACGCTTCAGGTACAGGCCTCAATGCCTTTATGGTTGGTTGTATTGGGTGGTAAATTGTTCTTACCCCTCTTATTTACTTGTTTGTTTTTACATTTTTTTATTGCATTTGTGTGCGTGTATGTGTTTGGGCGCGTGCATTCCAAGGAGTGCGTGTGAATATCAGAGGACAGCTTAGGAGCATGCTCTCCTTCCATCCTGTAGGTTCAGCAGATCAAACTTCACTTCAGGCTTGATGACAAGCATCTTTGCCACCTGAGCTATCTCGCAAGTTCCTTCCTCTTCCTAGGCTATAGGAATCTAAATGTTTAAACATAACTAGTAGCTGTCATTATTGGTGTCTGCATTAGACCAAGAGCTTTGTAGGAGTGTTGTGTGTGTTCATGGGGAGAGGAGCATGTATATATGCAGGTTCTGTTTTGATTTTTTTTGTTTGTTTTTGTTTTTTCTCTATGTAGCTCCAGCTCTCCTGGAACTCACTCTGTAGACCAAGCTGACCTCCAACTCAAGAGATCTGCTGCCTCTGCCTCTGGACTGCTATGGTTAAAGGGGAAGGCAAGCACCACCACTGCCAGGCTTGTTATGTTTCTTGAAACAAGGTCTTTTTTTGTTTTTGGTTTTGTTCTTCGAGATAGGGTTTCTCTGTGGTTTTGGAGGCTGTTGTCCTGGAACTAGTTCTTGTAGACCAGGCTGGTCTCGAACTCACAGAGATCCGCCTGCCTCTGCCTCCCGAGTGCTGGGTTTAAAGGCGTGCGCCACCACTGCCCATTGAAACAAGGTCTTAATGTACATTTGGCCTGCTTGAACTCTCTTACCTAGACCAGGCTATCCTTGAACCTTAAGCCATACTCCTGCCTCTGTCTCCCAAATGTTGTATTTATAACACCAGCAAGCCTCACAAATTGTTTTGTTTCCAAAAAAGGGTCTGTTTTGGATCTCTAGCTAGCCTGGAACACACAGCGTAGTCCATGATGGTCTGGAACTCTCACCAATCCCTTTCTCAGCCTCCCAAGTAGTGGGATTATAAACTTGAATCACTAGCCTGTTTTAAATAGGGGGGAGAGGAGGGCGCTCAGAGCAACAGAGAAAGTAGTTGGGCTGGCTATAGGACGATTACTTTGAGCTACTCTGCTTTTCAGTTTCTCAAAGACTCAAAATTATATTTCAAGAATTATTCATAATTTTTCAAAAATTATAGTTCAGAAATTATAACTAAATGCAGGGACAGGAGCTATGGCTCTCCGGTTAAGAACACTGACTATTCTTTCTGAGGACCAGGGTTCAATTGCCAGCAGCCCCATGGCAGCTCACAACTCTCTATACTTCTAGTGCCGGCCGTCCCACAACCTCACACAGCCATATATACAGGCAAAGCACCAGTGCACAGAAAAGAAACTTTAAAAGGAAAAATGTAAAAGATAACCAAAATGGAGCAGCCTGACGTGATGGCACACACCACACCACATCACACCGGCAAGCCCAACCCTTAGGAAACTGAAGCAAAAGAACTGCCAATTCAAGACCAGCCTGGGCCACACAGTGAGACCCTGTCTCAATAAAACACCGTTAGACATGGAGGCCCACACCTGTACACCCCACACTTGCACATTAAAGCAGGAGGATCAATTCAAGATTATTATCATCAATATGATAAGTCAGAGGCCAACTGGGTGAGCTGTAGTTTTGCCAAGTGAGGTGGTACACACACACACACACACACACACACACAAAGAGAGACACACACACACATACACACACACATCCCAGCACTAGGGTAGGCAGAGAGGCAAGTGGATCTCTGAGTTTGAGGCCAGCTTGGTACACAGAGTGAGTTCCAGAACAGCCAGGACTACACAGAGAAATCCCATCCCAAAAAACAAACAAAAAGTTACAGGTTCAGATAGAACAAAGGAAATGGAAAATGCTTGTGTGTTTGCTTGTTTTTAAAGATTACCACTGTATCCCAGACTGGCCTCAAACTTATACTTTTTTTTTTTTTCTTCAAGACAGGGTTTCTCTGTGTAGCTTTGGAGACCGTCCTAGAACAAGGCAGACCAGACTGACCTCAGACTCATAGAGATCCACTAGCCTCTACCTCCCAAGTGCTGGATTAAAGGCATGGGCCGTTACCAACCAGACTGGCCTGGAACTCTTAACAAATCTCTTGCCTCAGCCCCCCCAAATTCTGGGGTTTCAGATCTGATCATGCCAAGCTGAATGCTTTTCTTCTTCCTCTTGTTCCCCCCAATGTTTGCCTTTAGTGACAGGAAGAGTAAAGATGGGCAGGCAGAAGTGCAAGTGCATGCTGCCTTCCATCTGCCCAGATCATGCCACTTCCTCTACTGAATGATACACCCAAGGCCAGGCCAGCTGACAGTGAGAGAGGCCACTTAAAGACATGTTGTGTAACTTCTTGTAAGTAATGTTCCTTATTGAAACATCACTGGCACTTTATTTACTTATGCATTTATTTATTTAGGATGGTGGTGGTGGTAGTTGGTTGGCCTGTTGATTGGACTTGAGACAGAATCGCCTATACCCTAGACTGGCCTAGAACTCACTCACTGTGTAACCTAGAAAGAGAATGACTTTGAACTCCTGATCCTCTTGGCTCTATTTCCCGAATGCTGAGATTATAGACATACCATCATGCCCAGATTTTTCTGTTATTATCATTATTATGTTTGATCAGGGTTTCCCTATAAAACCCTGGCTGGCCTACTACTTGCCATGTGGCCCATGGTCTGGAATTCCCACCATTCCTCCTGTTTCTGTCTCCTGAAATATTACAGGTGTGTTCCAGTGCACTCAACTCCTTCACACTTGACACAACCTATCTCTGTAATTGAGAAATACTTGCCATGAGTGTGACTCTTCAGATAAACAAATCCTTTCTCTAAAAGAAAAGGAGCAGCCTGGCAGTGGTGGCACATGCCTTTAATCCCAGCACTCAGTAGACAGAAGCAGGCAGATCTGGTGTGGGAATTTTATCCAACAACCAATTGTATTGGGGTGGCTTGGCCCAATGAGTGTGGTCTTCTCTGGGGGTATGTGACCCATAATGAAAAGGTCAGAGTGGGCTGAAGGGTGCTCTCCTGGAACGTGGCAGGCTTGCTGGCAGCAATGGTTTGGTGACCTTCCCAGACAGCACCATCACTCTTGGGAAAGAAAGGATCCTTGTTCTGTATTGTGAGTGTATTTTATATTCTGTACCTGTTTAATAAACCATACTTAATCATATAGAGATCCTTCCTCATTATAGATCCCTGTGAGTTCAAGGCCAGCCTGGTCTACAAGGCAAGTTCCAGGAAAGCCAGGACTGTTATACAGAGAAGCCATGGTTCGAAGAAGAAGGAAAAAAAAACAACCAAAGAGAACTGTTGAGGTTCTCAGACATTAGTTGTATTTTTAGAATTCATTATGGTTTACAATTTTGACAGGAATAAGCATACTTCTGATAAAAAAATTATATTCAAGAACATTATGTTGCTGGGCATAGGTGGTGCATTCTTAGCACTCAGGAGGCAGGGACAGGTGAATCTTTGTGAGTTCGAGGCCAGCCTGGTCTAAAGAGCTAGTTCCAGGACAGGCTCCAAAGCCTGTCTCAAAAAGCAAAAACAAAACATGCTCTGTATGGTGTTGGCCATAGAAGCCAGGAGGATCAGGAATTCTGAGCCAGTGTGAGAAATGATGAAGGAACATAATAAGTTCCTGTTTCAAAATAAATAAATAAGCAAAACTAAAACCAAATTAATACAAAAACTCAAGAAATTATTAAGAAAATGAAGCATTTTAAAATTTTTTAAAAAATGTTTTGATCTTGGGGTGCAGAGATGGCTCAGCGGTTAAGAGCACTAATTACTCTTCAAAAGGTTCTGAGTTGAAGTCCCAGCACCCACATTCCAGCTCACAACTGCCTGTAACTCCAGTTCCAGGGGACCTGATACCCATGGCAAAACAAAATAAATTTAAAAAAATTTTTTTTTTTTATCTTGATCTAATTTTATTATATAGCTGTTCCTGACTTCAGTCTCATTTTGTAGTTCAGTCTAGGCTTAAACTCTACTTTTTAAATAATTTCTTTATTTTTATTTTATGTGCATTGATATTTTGGTTCCCTAGAACTGGAGTTGTGAAACAGTTGTGAGCTACCATGTGGGTGCTAAGAATTGAACCCAGGTCCTCTGAAGAACAGTTAGTGCTCTTAACCATACAGCCATCTCTCCAGCCCTAGGCTTAACATTTTAATCCTCATGCCTTAGCCTCTTGAGTACTGGTATTGCAAAACTGCATACCACATGTAACAGAGCTCATGTCTGGCAGCGGTGGCACACACCTTTAATCCCAGCACTTGGGAGTCAGAGACAGGAGGATCTCTGTGAGTTCCAGTTTAGCCTGGTCTACAGAGAGAGAGTTCCAGGACAGGCTGCAAAGCTATAGAAAAGCCCTATCTCAAAAAACCAAGAGAGAGAGAGAGAGATCAGGATGTCCTTGCTCTATTACTTAATTTATCAAATTGAATCAGAAACATTTGTACACATAGGTATATGGGAACTATATCAGAGAAACCAGGCCCACAAACTTATCAAACACACCAGACCAATGAATGAAACCACTCCTTCACCTGGATCATACAATAGAAGGAGCTCCTAACTTTGACAACTGTCCACAAGCAGTTAAGTTCCTGACTGTCCCCAGGGCTCAAGTTATCTTTTCTGGGAACTCACTCACCACCCCCACCCCTGCTCTACCA